TGAAGGGCTTTATCTATGTAATTTTTTTTTTTTTTTTTGTCAGTGGAAAGTGTCATGATGCCATTTTTAACCTTAGACCCCTGTGTGGGACCCGGAAAGAAATGTGTAAACGCCAGTAATCAAAGAAAATAATAATAATAATGATTCACACAGACAGAACCATCAAAACTAATCGCCCAGACATTGTTATTAGAGACCGCAAACAAAAAATTGCCTCCTTATTGAAATGGCAGTCCCTGCAGACTGCAATGTATGTTTAATGATCTTTAAAAAGCAAGGACCTTGAAATAGAAATCTCAAAAATGTGGCTCATGAGAATATCAACAATCCCTGTTGTAGTTGTAGCCCTAGGACTGATTGGAAAAGATTTCAACAGTCCCATTGAAGGAATTCCTGGTAGCCTATGCCTTAAAGGAATACAAACCTTACGACGGGCTTTATCTATGTAAAATAGGTTTGTTTTTTCTTGTTTTTTTTTTTCGGAGGGGGGGGGGTTAATTGCTCAGTGGAAAATGTCATGATGCCATTTCTGACCTTAGGGCGGGACCTGAAAAGAAATTAGTACACTCCAGAAATCAAAGGCAATAAAATAATAATTTTAATAATAATTCCTATATCTCTAGATACATACAAAAGATTCTATGCATTAAGTTAAAAAATAAAAATAATATCGTCCTTGATAATAGCTAAAAGAATAGCCAAAAGCACTCAGACGTGCAGAACACTTGGACAACTTTTACACGCTTCATGTCCAGAAAAGAAAACAATTATACGAATACAAGAAAAAGGAATTAAAAAGCTAAATTGCAATAGCTTCTCAGTTGCTTTTAATGAAACTTGTATAAAAGAGGGATTGTTGCCAAAATACACAATTATATATAGAGAGGTTTGAGATAGATAAATTGTCGTCTAATTAACGAAAAAATGTAAATAACACTGACACCTCATTTTAACAGATATATTTAACAAAATGACACAAAACTATCTTAAAATACTAAACAGTAAATTTATTCAATATAATTGCCATTGGTTTCAACCACGCCCTACAGATGACTTCGGAATCTCCTGCAACTCTTGTGGACGGTCTCCTTGTTTAAGTTGGTGAATTCTGCCATATTTCTTGCTTTCAGTTTATCTTTATTGCTACGAAGAGTTTTGTTGGACTCTCGCTCAACTGCGCCCTGCACCTAATAATCAAGAGAGTTGCAGTTTGGGGGAGTTAGATAGCCAGGTGTAAGCGTTGATGTGGTCGCAGATATTGTCTGACAGCCATGGTTGGATTCTCTTGCTTGTGTGACATGGTGCAGATTCCTGTTGCCAGATATATGGCCTTCCAGCAGCCACAATCTTGACCAAGGCAGCACTACCTCCTCAAGGCACTTGACGAAGGCCTCCATATTGGGACTGAGGGGATAACCTAAATTCGAGAGTTCTTTTCATATCAGAACGATCAAAGTGAGTTTTCCGAACTGCCGTACATTCTTAATCCCCTATTAGACTCATTCAACTCTTTCCCAATCCTCTGCAGTGTCTTCACTCAGATTGACACCCAAACACTCTGAAATGTTCACGTTGGAGCTTCCGGTGCGAATGCCAAGCAGCAGAGCATGCCGTTTACAAGTTTTCTGACAGAATGAATTGCGTCATGGTGCCCTTTTCTCACAGACGGTGGACAACTGACCCTAATATACTGAGCTGTCGACAAAATAAAAAAGAAGCAAAGCGCATGCGCAAAATTAAAAATATAAAATGGTGACAATGAAAACATCACCCATATATATATATATATATATATATATATATATATATATATATATATATAGAGAGAGAGAGAGAGAGAGAGAGAGAGAGAGAGAAAGAGAGAGAGAGAGAAAGAGAGAGAGAGAGAACATATCTTCATTTAATCATGTTTTGGCTGAATAATCTAGACATATTATAACTATTTTGATTCGTGAATTTGAGAGTGTGAAAATTAAAATAAATAAATTATTTTAGCCATTATCAAGAACGATTTTATTTATTTATTCATTTATTTATTTGTTTTTAAATGAATGTGTGGTTCTTTATCTATTCGGTTGAAGTTATAGGAATGTTTTATTTTCAGAACATGATCAAATAATGTCTTTCAAAATGGCTACTGTTCGCCGACGGATGTGCAGGGTTTTATTTACTATTAGCAAACGGAAATAAAAAAAAATTCTTGGAAATATTGAAAAAGTAGATGAAAAAAATAACACTGAACTTTTTCTGTTTTTAATCAAACGTAAATAAACACACACGTGCACACACACACACACACAGATATGATGCTAAAAAATTTGCTCTCGATATGGATGAAGAATTCTTGATATCGAGATCAGAGCGTTTGTAGATATAAATAATAATGTGGTCACTGAACTGTGACTGATAATCTTACAACTTTGTAATCATCAAACCATTCTTAAATCTGCGAGTGTGCGTGCGCATGCGCGTGCTTGTGTGTGTCAAATGAAAAAATAAAATCAATTACTTATTGAGAAAGTACATAGTTTACGTTACGGTTACGAAACTGAGCATGTATACCTTTCGAGAAAAAAAATCTGAACGAGTCAGCGTGATTTAAAGCCAACATAGAACTTTCCTTTGTGAAGCTTTCCTCCTAGCCGAGTGGCAAAACACGTCGGATCGGACGAGGGCCTATCCTGCAAAATGGGGGCGCAGGTTCGAATCCTGCCGGAGGACATATTATCTTAATTAAGTTTTCTCGAGTACGTAGACCGGTAGTCGAAATAATTTTGTTTAAAATAAACAGAGCGTCTACGCAAGTACGTATAGCCAAGTTTCAAGTAATATAGAATAAAGATAATATAAGAACCAAAAAACACACACACTTAACAGAGACACAACCCGTTTCCAGGAACCAATAAAACTGTCAAAATGACCAAGGGAATTCAGAGCAGCATGAATCCATCCAGCTCTTATCTTAAATAACAACTTAAAAGAGACTGTTTGACCAACACAAGGACTGATCAAAATTCATGTAAAAAATGCCGAACAAAAATAAAAGTGAGTCTTTAAAAAATTGTTTGATTTCAATTATATATATATATATATATATATATATATATATATATATATATTGACCAAAATTCATGTTAAAAACTAAAAAAACTAAAAGAAAAACAAACGAAAACTACAGACAAAAGTTCATTTTCTCCATCAAGACATTCATTTCTGTAGTTCACTGCTACCAGCAAGCATAAAATTATTTTTCTCCTGATGATGGCCATGTTGGCCGAAACTAGTCGAGGAATCTAAATGAAATAATAATAAAAACGAAAGAATATTAATATACAATCCAGTGTGTCTGAAGATTTTATTTTTTTAATATTTCTTATAGTTCAAGATATATATATATATATATATATATATATATATATATATATATATATGAGTACAGCGTTGATACCCATGAAATAAAATTCCAATAGGCAAAAACACTATTCTTAAAAGAGTGCTCAATACCGAGTAGAGGTAATAATATTTTTTCAAATTTATAACATATGCATGTTATAACTTCACTACAAAATTACAATTTTGTTTCGACAAATCTTCTGTCTTATCAAATGATATATATATATATATATATGTGTGTGTGTGTGTGTGTGTGTGTGTGTGTGTGTGTGTGTGTGTGTGTGTACGTGAGTGTTCCTATGTTCTTGCGTGCATCTAAGAGATTTGGGAGATTGTCTATGTAGAATTTTTCCAAATGATTGTTCAAAATACTTTCGGATAACCTTTCCGCCATTTTCAAGAATGTTGCTTATGTAATTATGTATCTGCACAGAAACTCTTCTTTTATACAAGTGTCACTGAAGATGACTGCGGTTAAGTTTTTATTAATTTTTTTTTCTTGTATTCGTTTTCTGGAGATAAAGTGTGTAAGAACTGACCAAATGATTTATCGATCTGAACGCTTTCGGCTAATAATTTATTAACCATTATCAAGGATTTTTGTTCTTTGTTTATGTAAATATGCATTTTTTTTTATATGGGAATGTTTTAAATTTCCGAACAAGGTTAGCACGTTGTGGCCGTGTTCATAAGTATTATTACTGAGAGTTGGCTTCTTTTTTATTATTAAAGCCTCCATTATTTTTAACCGTTTGTGACTTGTGGATGTTCGTATTTTCCACAAGTATATTCTGGATGGAGGTGGTAGGTCTCCGTATGTATTTAAATGGATCCTAATCAAGCTTTGACACTAGAGGTAATGTAATCTTTTTTGATAATATATATATATATATATATATATATATATATATATATATATAGAGAGAGAGAGAGAGAGAGAGAGAGAGGAGGGAGAGGGAGAGAGTGATAGACCGACGGACGAGTAGACAGAGACAGACAGACAGACAGAGTGAGACAGAGAGACAGATACAGACAGAGATTTGGACGTCTATTATAGATAAATCAACAGCTAGCTACATAGATTAGAAAATGGCGTTGTCATGAATGAACTGATATTGATATATCGATATAAAATATGAATGAAGTGAAAAATCTGATGAATGAACACACACACACACACACACACACACACACATATATATATATATATATATATGCTGAGAGGTAGACAGTGTCGGAAGCAGGTGCAGAAATGCATTAAAAAAATTGAACGTTTGAATGAAAAGGGCTATTTCTATGAAAATGCTCGAAAGGCGTATTCTGAGAATGGCAGCGATACAGAAAGGCCGTGTTCCTTTTTGACTTTTCTGATTGGCTATTCGGGAAACCCCGCCCCTCTTTCCGAATGGCCTTTACTTGATAAATACCTGCTTAAGTGGCTCTGACAAGACGCGTCAGATGGAGGGCGTGCAGTGGAGTGGGAGTTTTAGAAGTGAACAGAGGAGGAGGGGAAGAGGAGGACTTGGGTGGAAGGGAGAGTAGATAAATATGAAAAAAGGGAAATCAGTAACGAGAAATATTGAGCGAGGGACAGTCGACGAGAATATATGAGCCAAGTGCGAAATCGGAGCCGTAAAATTGATGCTACACATCCTTTCTTCCTTTATATAATTAATCTCTCTATTTCTCATTGTCTTTTTCCTTCGCTTCTCGTTGACGTTTTCCCCTCTCTTTCTTATTATCATACCATCATTTTTCTTTTGCTTTTTTTTTTTCACGTTTAAATTCTTCTTTCTTCCCATTTCCTGCTTTTTTTTTTTCGATTTTTAGAGCATCTCTTTCTTTTTCCATATATTTTTCTTTTCTTTTTCTTTAACCATACTCTTTCTTTTTTTTTCTTTACTTTTTGTTCTCCTTCCTCTTGCTTTTCACCACTTTCCTTCTTTCTTTTTTCTTTCATGGTTTCTTCTTTCCTTTAAAATTGCTTTCTTTCTTTCCATCACACATTCTTATTCTTTTGTATTTTTTATTTTTTCCATATTTCTCTTTCTTTCACATTTTTCTTTCACGTTTTTCTTTCACATTTTTCTTCTTTCACATTTTTCCTTCTTTCACATTTTTCTTTTACATTTTTCCTTCTTTCACATTTTTCTTTCTTTCACATTTTTCTTTTACATTTTTCTTTCTTTCACATTTTTCTTTCACGTTTTTCTTTTACATTTTTCCTTCTTTCACATTTTTCTTTCTTTCACATTTTTCCTTCTTTCACATTTTTCTTTCTTTCACATTTTTCTTTTACATTTTTCTTTCTTTCACATTTTTCTTTCACGTTTTTCTTTTACATTTTTCCTTCTTTCACATTTTTCTTTCTTTCACATTTTTCTTTTACATTTTTCTTTCTTTCACATTTTTCCTTCTTTCACATTTTTCTTTCACATTTTCCTTTACATTTTTCCTTCTTTCACATTTTTCTTTCTTTCACATTTTTCTTTCTTTCACATTTTTCCTTCTTTCACATTTTTCTTTCTTTCACGTTTCTTCACATTTTACTTTCTTCCACATTTTTCTTTCGTTCATATTTTTCCTTCTTTCACGCTTTTTTTTTCTTTCACGTTTGTGTTTCTTTCACGTTTTTTTCTTTCTTTCTTTTACATTTTCTTTTTTTTTTCACATTTTTTACGCTTTGTTCTTTGTTCTTTTCTTCTTTTTTATTTTTCATTGTGTCTCTTATGTTACTTTTATATAATTTTTGTTTCTTTTTATTTCGTTCTTCCTTCTCAATCTTTCATATTTTAATTTTCAAGATTCTTCTTCCTTTCGTATTTTCTTTTTTCGTATTTCGTTAATTTGTTCTTTTTGCTTTCTTTATATTTTATCTTTCCTTGTCTCTTAATTTACTTTTTTTCTTTCTTTCTCTTTTTACATACTCTCTCCCTTTCTTTTTTCTTTTACAATTTAGTTTCTCCTTTTCATTCTGCTTCCCTTTTTTCCTTGTTTAATTCTAAAACTTTCCCCATGTTTATTAACACATAACTCTTCAACCCACTAATTTTTTTCATTCCTTTGCCAATTTCTCTAACCTACACCCTGTTTCCCTTTCTTTCTCTTCTCTCATTTTTTATTTATTGATTTTTTTTTTCTTTTTCAATCTATCTCAATAAATGTTTCTTCATCTTTCCTTCTCTTCGGATTGCCACTTTCTGCCTCGCACCTGTTAATACGACATTGTAGCATACTTCCTCCCCACTCGCCTCCACTGCTGCCGCTAGCTTTTGCCACCCGACCACCACCACCACCATCACTTCCATCTATCGGACTTACAACTTCGAATTGTCTAAAATTATTTACACGTATTTAGTTTCCCAGCAATATCTACTTCCAATGGCTCACACACACGAACACACAAGTGGCTTGAGTTACACAGGTGTTCGTACCTAATTGCACCGTCTTCAATTAAGAGATAAATCATATAAACAGACACACATTATGGAGACATGCACACACACACACACACACACACACACACACACAGACGAGAGAACAAACTCACACACGTATTTAAATACGCGTAAACTTCTTTTTTCTAACAGATATTATTATTGATACGCAGATTTTCATACGTTTTGTACATAACTGACACACGCACACTCATACAAACACAGACACAGACACACATAAATATATATGTGTGTGTGTTTTGAACAAAAAAAAAATTAAAATTTTCTGACACCCTGGGTTGTATATTAATATATTTTTGTCTTATCATTTCTATAACGTTGCTCAAATAATTTCGGCCAGAATAGTCATCATCAGAAGAAAAAAAAATCCATGCTTGTTAGTCGCTGTGAACTACAGGAGTGAATCACTGTCTCTGAAGAAAATGAAATTTATCTTTAGTTTTCATTTGTTTTTTTATCGTTAATTTTGGTCAGACCTTGTCTTGGTTAAACGGCCTCTGTGAAGTTGTTTTCTCATATATATATATATATATATATATATATATATATATATATATATATAAACATTGTTCCTTAGGGATACTCATATTCAAGTAGAAGGTCTATCTTTTTAATTTAACTGCATTTTTTATCCGACTATATCTACCGGCCTGTTAAAAAAACACCTACTAATCGAATAAAAAAAAGTATCCATCAAAAATAACGTTTAAACAAAATAAATTAAAATTAACAATATGTAGGATTTAATCAATTTCCCATATATATATATATATATATATATATATATATATATATATATATATATATATATATATATATATATATATATATATATATATATATATATAGGAAAGAGTTTAGTTTTTCCAATGACAGAAAAGTGTATATTCTAAAGAGACGAGAGAAGCTGCAAACGGTTCGGTTTAAAGTATGGATTCTTAAAATACATATTATACTTTACTTTTCATATTTTTTTCATATATATATATATATATATATATATATATATATGAAAAAATATGAAAATTTTCATATTTTTTTTTTTATATATATATATATATATATATATATATATATATATATATATATGAAAAAAATATGAAAAGTAAAGTCTCTTTAAAATATACACTTTTCTGTCGTTGGAACAACTATAAACGCTTCCTGATATGTGTATGTGTGTGTTTCATTAAAGCCGACAGACAAGATACTACGATTAAGCTTTTTATTTAATTTTTCTTGTGTTCGAACAAGTGTTTTTTTTTTGTTTTTTTTTTGTGGAGAGGCGGGGTGACACAGTGTGTGTAGAAACTGTCCAAATGTTCTGTAATTCCGAGCGCTTTCGTTGATACTTTTAGCCATTGTCAAGGATGATTTTATGTTTGCTTTTTAATTGGGTGAATGAGTTGGGTGTATATGGTTTTAGAGTTATAGAAATGTTTTATTTTCCGAACACAGCACATTGTGCCGTGTTCGTAGTTAATATTATTAAATGTTGGCCTTTTCTTTTATATTATTAAGCCTTCCATTATTTTAAGTCTTTTTTACATGTGGATGAAGTTATTATGTTTGTGTTTTCTACTAGTATGTTTCGAATGGAATCTGGTAGGTTTGTTTGTGTTATTAAATGGGTTCTAATGTTATTAAATGGGTTCTAATGTTATTAAATGAGTTCTAGTGGACCTCTGGTCAGATAGGTGTAACGTTAGGCGTCTTGATAGGCATGTAGAAAGTGTGACCGATGTAATTATTTATAAGTTCGGTTTGATGAGGAATACAGTTCCTTAAGGGGCATTTGAACATTAAGGGTCATTAAAACAGATAATCTTATCCTAAAAATAACAATAGACCAGCAAAATCAAAATCACAACGAACTAACATTATCTTTGAGTTCAAACGGAATGCTGTCTAAATAAATATATATATATATATATATATATATATATATATATATATATATATATATATATATATATATATATATAATAATTTCAAACACTAATATTCCGTGGTTATAATTTATTACATTGGAATTGTAATCACGCTCAATTCATCAGACCTACAAATTCAAAAAAGCTTTTTGAATTTATGGGTCTGACGAATTGGATCGTAATTATGATTCCAATGTAATAAATTATAATCATGGAATATTTGAGCCTTTTTTTCTATTATATTCTTGCTCTGTCCTGGACATTGAGTCTACCTGAATTCTATACTCTTGGAAATTTATATATATATATATATATATATATATATATATATATTGACTACTAATATTTTCAATATATATATATATATATATGTGTGTGTGTGTGTATATTTGGGCAGCAAGCTTTCTTTTAAATGTTTTTTTGAATATGACAGACAAGGAAATTTTGATTTAATTTTTATTTAGTTTTTGTCATATTTTTGCAGAGCTCAAATTCTTTTCGAGCAAATGCCCTTGGTAAAGGCATGAAACCGTCTCTTCTTCCAACCAAAGTTAGTGTTTAAAAAGTGCAGTAGAATGGGTTAATTTGTTTTTTAGTCAATTATCCATTCTAGAAGAGGGACGACGCTAAATTCAGAACTGTGCAGACTATAATGTGAACTCACTTTACTATCTTTCAACATTAATCGTTATTCATAAATAATAAAGAAAAGGAACTTCTGGTAAGATTTTTCAGCAACCCTATCAAATATATATTAATCCTGTATTAATCAGTATTTTCCGATATTATTCTACAGGACGTCATTAATCATGGCTCCCTGTGGTTTCCTTTCTTTTATCATCTCCGAATTACCATATATTCCGCGGAAGGATAATGAAGTCGTTTCCGTTTGCCATCTACACAGTCGGGAAATCATCATTATTTCTTTTTTTTTTTTTTCACCTGTTTGCTATGTAAGGCTTGAGAGTTCAGTCTACTCTCTTATATAACCCATACTTGGGGGAGAAGATAATGTTCAAGGAGATTAGTGAGAAAGTGAAGTCAGGGTTAAGGTTAGGATTAATTTGAATTTGGCTCCTCGATTCCAACTTTGGCGCCGATAACGGTTGCACTACCCGAACATCTTCTTGAAAGATCGATTCTCGAAAGTCTTTATCTATACGAGCAAAGTACCAATAAAAATATCACGTGCTTAATTATGGATCGACACATCTGCTTAGGCCCAAGATACCCCCCCCAACACACACACAGATAGTAGATAAACTTCCTCGGTCTTTTAAACAGAAGTAGAAGTTTATCCCATGTTTCCTATTTAGGATCTGGTTTCCGGATCCTTCTAAAATCTTTTTTTAGCTCTTAGTGGCATTATCGCCTTGCATGTGGTGAACTGATCAATAAATAAATATATATGTCTGTCTCTATTTCTGAGATGAGGCTTTGTAACTATTTACATTATTTACATAGCTCGGGCTATTGTCCTCGTCTTTATAATCATTTTCACGACGTTTCGGCCGTTGTACGCCCCGGCCTTCTTCAAGTGATATACATTGGGATTTCGAATGGAACCCTTTATTTCGTCCACCGGGGTAGATTGTTCTAGTTCCACGTTCCATGCCTTTTTCTGGATATCTCAGTTTCAGTTATCTCCCTTTAGTAACTCAACTCTCTTTAATACCTGCCGTGGCCAGGAACTGAACTAACAAGTCTTTGGGGTCAAGTCACTGGATTACTTCAACCAACGCTTTTATCCACTGGGCCAAATGTCCTTGGGGTATATCAAGTGATGAAGACCGGAGCGTTCAATGGCTGAAACATCGTGAATATGACAACAAAGATGAGTACAACTGTCAGAACAATGTAAATCGTGTTATATATATATATATATATATATATATATATATATATATATATATATATAAAAGAAAGAGAAACTGCAAAACGTTTTTGTTTTGTTTTTTTTTTTTGTTTTTTGATATTATGCTTTATTTTCCATAATTTTGCTACACGAGTTTCCGGTCTCGCGACCGTCATCAGTTAAAGGGCGGAGATTTCCACATATTATTCAAAATAATTATTTTTTTCTCCTTTATGTCTTTCGATGTTAAATATTCTCGATATTAGTCATTGTCTTTTTCTGTGTTAGTGACCAACTTGAACTGGCAGTGAAGAGTTCTGCATGAAGGGTTATAAAACAATTAAGATTGGTCCGAAAAATGGTGAAGTAGTTATCGGCATTCTTATCTTTTAATGACCCCTGAGGGTTCTTAGATCTATTTCCATTTTCGTGTGCTTCTGTCAGTATGCGTGCATATGTGTGTATATTGTCTCACTACGAGAAATCAGTGAACTCATCTGTACACACACACACACACACATATACACACACACACACAAACACACACACATACTGTCCCATTACAAGAAATAAGTACATACGCACATACACACATACACACATACGTACCTACACATACTTCCCAAGTTACATGGAATCAGTGTATACACACACACACACATACATACATACACACATACATACACACACATACGTACACATATACACGCATACTTCCTAAGTTGTGTGGGGTTTGTGTGCGTGCCTGTGAGTAGTTCTCCTACTTTTGTCAATATATAATATATATATATATATATATATATATATATATATATATATATATATTCGTGCCCCACAGACACCTGCATATGAGCGTGCGTGCACGTATCTGAGTGGTTTGACCACTGTATTTGGCCATTATGTATGCATGCTGTGTGCTTTTGCAGAGAGGAACCCGGACGAAGCTTTGCCGAAGGGAAAGTTTTCTTTCAGGGAGGTAGACAGGGCCTGAACCCGTCTAGGCGGGTTCAAAAAGGCTATATATTTGGCCGAGCCTACGGGCTCGGGGATACCCACATTAAACCGGACTTGTGCCACATTCTATCCTCGTG